TTTTCGAGGAATCCCGCACGAAACTTTCGCTGTCTTATTGGTTCGAGAGGACGTCGGACTGGGTTCCAAGCCCCTGTTCGAGGGAGTCAAGCACGAAACGTTAGTTTCCGATTGTGCAAGACCGACTTCGAAGCAGGCTCGAATCATCTTTTGGAGGAAGTCCCAGACGAAACGCTCATTTCCCTAAAAACCGAGTTCTATTGTTTTGAACCGGCTTTCGAATATGGTTCGCATTTCTTGTGCGAGGAAGCTCAACGCGGTTCGCCGTTTCCGAACCGCCATCTCGGCCTTGAATAGGAGGTATAAGCCCCAAGGTTGCCGAGCCCCGCTGGCACGGCCCCACCCCCTTACGCCGCATCAGACCCCGCGCGCCTGACAGGTCATCGTTGGTCCACGCTGCGTCTGCCTACCAACGACTGGTCTGTCTTCTACTCACCACCCACCAAAACCACCCGAACCCAACCCGAAGGCCTCAATTTGCCTTCCATTTCCAGTGGGGGGGGGGGGTCGGGGAACATCGAAAAAACACATTCGGAGCCCGTACTCCCCCAACCCGAAATTCGGGTCTTCGGGTTGGGTTGGGGTGGTCTGGTAGGTAGTTATCTACCACGGCACACGCGCCGCGCTTCTTCATCACGCGCGCACGTTTCGTGAAAGGACGCAACGGTATACCAAACCTTGCGCGCCGTTCAGTATTTTGCACCACCGCCGTAAAAGCCCCACGAAGCTGATTTGTCCAAGCGGACGGAGGTGCACGAATATGTTTTACAGATTCACTCGGGTCGGCCGAGTGGAGCGGAAATTGTGCGATGTCCTAACGCGCAGGGCGAATCCAATTCAAGGCGTCAAGTACGCGATGCAACCAGGAATCGTTCAACTAAGCCACGCTGGTTGCAATATACTCTGCGTGGAGGAGACAGCAATGTTGGAGATGCAGCATGCAATACTTGTGGAAGCAAACGCAGTTTGATGGCAGATAGGAGGGCCTCAACATTAGGACTCCAAGCACGTTCTAAACTCTGCATGCTTGTAAGGCCACCAACTTCGAACCGAGGAGATTTCAGAATCCTTATGCACTTCCTCGCATAGTGCGCACGTGAACGAACCATACCCTGGGAGTGCCAGCGATGTCAGGAACCAGCTGAGAAGAGCGAACGCTTGATCGTCAGCGAGTCCACAAAGAGCACCTTGGCCTCGAGATCTTGCTGGGAGGAGGAGGAGGAGGAGGAGGAGGAGGAGGATCAGGAGGAGGAGGAGGAGGAGGAGGAGGAGGAGGAGGAGGAGGAGGAGGAGGAGGAGGAGGGGGGAGGAGGAGGAGGAGGAGGCGCCCCCTCCTCGCCACGCCGCCCTCCGCCCCCGCGCCACCAGAAAACCCAGGCGCCACGTCGGAAGCCCTCGCTCCAGGTTGGCGCGGCGCCTCCCGCGGGGCGTCACCGCCCGCGGCGGGGCGCGGCCGACCGCCGCCCCGCCTTCCGCCGACCGCAGGGAACCCCGCCGGCTTGCCGCTTCAGCTCCCGTCGGCGGCGGGCACGGACGGGGCGAGGGGGGAGCCTCCAGAGCATCCACTCCCGATCTCTCGTGTCTCTCCATCTCACTCTCTCTCTCTCTGTCTCTGTCTCCCCTTCCCTGTCTCTGGCTCTATGTCTCGCTTGTTTGTTGTTTGTGTGTTGTGTATGTGTTCTCTCTCTCTCTCTCGTTTTATATATATATATATTTATATATATATATATGTTTATGTATATATGTATTTCTCCATACATATAGACCTACATTATACACCTACATGTATGTATATACATGTGTGCATGCATGTATGCGTATGTGTATATCGATGTGGTCAACTCGACATGTGAATGTATAATGTGCATCCAGCTATATATATAGTCATATGTATGTGTGTCTACATATATGTGTATATGTATGCCTATCTCTCCCCCTCCCATATGGCTGCCATTGTGTCATATTTGTTATGTGTATACCAAAACATGTGTACAGACCGCTATGCCTACAAAGGCATATATGCATCTATATATGTATGTATCGATCGACCCATCCAGATGCGCATATACTTATAGATATATATATATATATATATGTATATATATATGTGTGTTGGTGTGCATAGATGCGCATGCATATGTACATACACGGATAACTGGATGTGTAGATGTGCACACACATATATATATATATGTATATATGTGTAAATGCATGCACAAACCCATACGTATATATAGGTGCAATTCTAACATTGTACATAGGTGTATGTTTATATATATATATACATGTATATCTATATATACAGACCAATCGGTACATTTATGTATGTACGTGTATATGTACATATTGTTGTATATATATACACAAGACTGCAGTGGCGTTTCGCGCCATGCATCTTGGTCCTTGAAGTTTGGTTTGCAGGCGGAATGGCAGGAAGATCAAGCCGACAATTTAGCGATAACTCCTGGTTGCCTTTCCGGCATCGCCGCTATGATAATGTTATTCGTTATTCTTCCTCCATGTTTATTGTTTCTTATTTTCGCCTTACCCTGCGCATTCTCCACATCCTCCTCAGTTCTTTTTGGCGGAAGCTCCTCCTTGGAGAGCCTCTAGGGGCCTCACAAAAGTTGTGTCGGGCTTTCTTAAGGCCTTCTGGAGGCCTCCTGGGCGTATTCTGGGGGCCTCCACGGGCTTCCTCGGGCCACCCTGCCTCCAACCGCCGTCTCCCTGAACGACCGAATCACGATTTGAAATTCTTCGGAGGGTGTTTTTGGGCCATCTTGGGCCGCCATGGGGCTCTCTGAGGGCCATCTTGGACCCGTGTTGTGCCGTTTGGGGGCTCTCTTGGACTGCCTGGAAGCCCTTTCGGATGGTTGTGGGGCGATTTGGGAGCCTCCCAGGCGGCTTCGGACGCCCAGAAGACCGCCGTCTTGGAGCGTCGGGAAGCCGAAAAGAGGAGAACCCCAAAATTCACCAAAACCCGCAGAAAATCAATGATGTTTGCCTCGGGGGGCCTTCTTGGGAGTGCTCTTGGAGGCCTCTTTGGGGCCGTCCTGGAGGCCTCTTGGGCCATCTTGAGGTCACGTCGGTCCCTCTTGGAGCGCTCTTGTGCTGTCTTGGAGGTCTCTGGGACGTCTCCGATGACCCCCCTGATCGCCCTAAGTGTGCTGGGAAGGCTTGGCAAAACGCCTTGCGAGGCGCGGTGGCCGCTTCGAGGCCCGTCCGGAGGGCCCCAAATCCCCAGGTCCCGGGAGTCCAGTTTTGTTTGGGGGGGGATGGGTTTTCCCCCCGCCAGGGCTTATAAAAATATAGGAAGAGAATATATATATATATATATATATATATATATGTATTATATTATATGATATTATATTAAATTTTAGTATAGTGTATTATAGTATATTATAGTGTATTATAGTACAATGTATTATATTATATTATATTATATCACATTATATCAGATTATAGTATACCATATCATATTATATTATACCATATCATATCATATCATATTATATTATATTGTATTATATTATATTATATTATGTTATGTTATGTTATATTATATTATATTACAAAATATTATATCACCGTATCTTGTATTGTATTATATTATATTATATTATATTATATTATATTATATTATATTATATTATAGTATATGATAATATATTATATTATATATTATATCATATTATAGTATACTATATTATATTATATTATAGTATACTATATTATATTATAGTATATTATATGATATTATATTATATTATATTATAGTATATTATATGATATTATATTATATTATATTATACTATATTATATTATATTATGATATGTTATAGTATATATATAGCACCCCGGAAATGCGGATAAGAGTGATGGGGCGGGCGCGGGCGACGCGGGCGTCGAACCGGCGGACCTCGTGGCCCGCACTTTCCCTGTCGATGGCGCTCTCCTCCTCCTCCTCCTCCTCACTTCCTCCTCCTCCTCCTCCTCCTGCTCCTCCTCCTCCTCCTCCTCCTCCTCCTCCTCTTCCTCGTCAGCGTCCTCGTCCTCGTCGTCGTCGTCGATGTGTCAGGAGTGTTCGTGGGGATCGCGTGATACGCCTCTCGGGCGTCTCCAGGAAGCTGCTGTGAAGCCTGTTGGGAATCGTTTTGGAGCCTCATGGGGTCTTTTTGGGGCGTCTTAGAGGCCGATTAGAACCCCTCGGGGCCTCGTGGAAGTGTGTTGGGGCGCCTCTTGGGGGTTTTCTTGGGCCTTCTTGGGGCTCTCTCAGGGCGATGAGGTGGATTTTGGGATTTTTGGTCGCCGTCTTGGGCCTGTTGTGGGGCCTTCTCGGGGCATTGTTGGCCTGTTGGGCGTCTCTTGGGCCGTCTCGGTGCCCTCTTGGGCCGTGTTGGGGCTGTGTACGGGGCCTCTTGGGCCGTGCTGCGGCGGTCGTGGGAGCTTCTTGGGCCGTCTTGGAACGTCGGGAAGCCGAAAAGGCAAGAAGGCCCAAAACATAGAAAAGCACAATGGGAAATCAACAACTGTGGCCTCTTGGGGCTTTTCGGAAGCCTCTTGGAGGGCTTCTTGGAGCATCTTGGAGGTTCTGGGGCTGTCTTGGGAGTCTCCCGCTGGCCCTCCCGCTGGACGTCAGGGACGTCCAGAGATCCAAAAGTCTCGTGGAGTCCGGCGAGTCCGGGGAATCCGGCGAGTCCATGGATTCCGGATCGGACCTCGAGGGGGTCTGGTCTCCCGGGGGGGGGTCCCCCCCCCCCGATTGTAAAAATATAGAAAGGGAATATATATTTATATATATACATATATATATATATATATATATACATCGATGCACACACCTATAGTTGCCCTGTTGTTGCTTCTCTCGATCGTTTATTGATATATATATATATATATAATTTTCTGTTTCGCTCTGTCTTTCTTTCTCTCTCTCTCTTTTTTTTTTCTCTCTCTCTCTCTCTCTCTCCCCCTTCCTCTCTATGTTCCCCCCGAAGGTGCCTCCCACTGGTGCTCAACCTGGCTCCCTCCAAATCTGGCACAGAGGATCTGTACAAGCGCCTCCTGGCCCACCCCGCCGTCGTCAAGGAGCGGTGGCCTCGCCAGCACCGTAGGAGCGGTAAGACTCGGAGGTCGAGGAGGAGGTCGAGGAGGAGGAGGAGGCGGAGGAGGAGGAAGAGGAGGAGGAGGGGGAGGAGGAGGGGGGAGGAGGCGGAGGAGGCCGAGAAGGAGAGGGAGGAGGAGGAGGAGGAGGAGGAGGAGGAGGAGGAGGTCGAGGAAGAGGAGGAGGAGGAGGAGGAGGAGGAGGAGGAGGACGACGACGACGAGGAGAGGCAGCGAGAAGGAGGCGGAGGAGGGAGAGGAGGAGGACAAGGAGGACGACGACAACAACGACAAGGAGAGGCGGCGGCAGGCAGGGGTAGACATGGAGGTGGAGGATGAGGATGGTTAGGGGAGGATTCGGAGGAGCAGGATGAGGAGGAGCAGAAGGTGGAGTGCGGTTTGATGTTGATGCCGATGGTGATACTCTTATTGATGCTGCGGAGTGGACTGGCGAGTGAGAGAAAGTTGGTGTTGGGAAGGTGGGCGGATTGACGGTTGGTTGACCGAGCTTCAGTCTTTGAAAGATCGGACAAACGAGTAGTTAGATGAGTCAACGAGTGCGCTTATAAGCGCGAGAGTGGGCGAATGAGCAACGAAGGAAGGAAGTGAAAGGATAGGCGTGGGAGTGTAGGTAGGACAAGCGAGATTGAGTGAGTAAATCAGTGGGTGGGTGGGTGAATGAGCGGATGGGTGAGTGAATAAGCGGGAGTGTGGACGGGTACGTCAGAGAGTGAGTACACGAGGGCTTGGCTCTGCGGGCAGCGATTTGCTCACAAATAGTGGCCGACCGAGCGGCTACAGGATACTGAATCATGCCGGCGGATGTCATGGATCACCCGGGGGTGAAGGAATTCACTGCCGAAGCACAAGAAAAGAAAGGAGGGAGTGGCGAGAAAGAGAGAGAGAGAGAGAGAGAGCGAGAGAGAATAACCAATGAGGATTTGAAGGTTACCCTGTCGTCGAGGGATCGACGGGCTGCCGTCTCGCTTCTCAGGCCCGCGGAAGCCGGCGGAAGTGAGCCGAGGCCAGCGTTGCCAGCGGAAGTTCGCAGGAGCCCAGCGGCGGTTCGCAGAAGTCCCCAAGAGAGGTCAAGATGGATGGGCCTGTTTTCCACCACCGCCATAAGTTGGAGGGGGGAAGGAGGTGGAGGACGAGGAGGAGGAAGACGAGGAGGAGGAGAACGAGGAGGAGGAGGACCCCCTCCCCCTCCGACTTATGGTGGTGGTGGTGGTGGAAAACAGGCCCATCAAAGATTGGCGTACCGCGGCAGGCCACAGGGATTACTCGGGGAAGGGACAGGCAGAGATGGAGGGACGGTCGGGTCATCTTCCGTAACTTGCAAGAGCATGTTGCCAACACGGTTGATATCACGCCTCGCACGCCGATGGAAAAACAAGGATGCAGAAAAGACCATCGCGGCTCGTTGCCAGTTTTCTCCGCTTCAGGAGTTACACAAGACCACGCGATTGTAGCGCGAGTGGTCGTGGGCGTCGGGAAGACGTTTCGCTTGTCTCTGCGAAGATCATCATGGCACTCGCCAGTCGACGTGGCACGAGCCTTGCACAGTCACCGATCTACCTGCGCCAATACACCGTTCCTCTCGCTCCTTGAATGACAAGCGTCCGGGTATCTCGACGCACAATTTTTTTGATTGCGGGGCACAATTTGTTTTCGCGCCGCCCGATATCCTTGCCGATGACGTCTCAGTCGCTATTCCGGAACAGGGTATCAGCGTCGCCGACCAGATTTGCGCTCGCATTCGGTGTCCTCCTCTGCCAGTGTTGGAAGTTGCTGGTCTTTCATTGCCCGCAGGCTCCAAGTAATGGTGCGAGGCGCATTGTGTTGAAGACGTGTTCTCCAGGGTACTGCCCAGAGTCCAAGAAGGGCGAAGCTTCGGGTCCCTCGAGAGTGCCTGGCTGCGTCTGAGGCTGACGCACAGCATCCGAACGAAGATGCTTGCAGCCAGTTGTTCCAGCGTGTAACGCAGAGGGTGTTGTTTTGACCACCCTGCCCGCTGAGAACGACGGCATCGGCTCCACCAACTACGAAGGCTTCTACGCCTCCAAGGCGGGGAGGGTTCCGCATCAACGACAGCTTATCACATCCATAGGCCAGAGGCACGTACATTGTGCTGCTGGATGTTGCCCCGCATTCTTATCCAGTGATGTTGCTGCTAGTGGAAGCGCTACATGTGCATTACTGGACGTCACCAGCTCCTTTTAATTTGTGTATGCTGCCACCGCAGTGGCCCCTCTGTCATCGTCCACTGTGCTCGATGGGGCAGCACTGTCAGCTATACGGGCAAAGCTACCATCAGTAATTTCAGCGCGTCGTAGCACTTCTTGGTAGTATTCTTTGTTGTTCGAAAGCCGGACTGATAGACCCCTCGCTTGGCAGCCAGGCATGCTTCAGCCTTGCTTGGAGATGTGTTCGGAGTCCGCGCATTTCAAGCAGGCAGTAGGCGCATCAAGCAAGAAACCAGCCTGCCAGCAGATGCCCCTCGTAATCTTCCCATCCCACGATGGCCCCGGGGACCCACAGAGGATCGGGGGCACCTCAGGACCCTCAAAGATCGACGAATCGTGTGCCCCGAGATTTCTCAGATCACGATTCCTTACCGTCTGTGCCTAATGTACCTGGCGGCAGGGGTACGGTGGGTTCGCGTCGTGTCGACCGGCGGCGACCCCGCCGCCGGCGACCCCGCCGCCGGCGGTGAACGTTGCACGCCGCCGGCGACACAGAATCGGTCGATGTTGAAGGAGATGACGTTTCGGAAACGGCCGATCGTTCAAGGCTGAACGATTCCCGAACATTCCCGCGGTTTCAGGAACCAACCCCAGGGTCGACACGACGCGAACTTGCCGTACAGTGGAGACCCATGCCAAGGAACACCCTACTTGCCTCCAGGGTGCCCTGGGTTTCTTGGGCTTCGACAGTTTTGCTGTGGGAAACGTGACGTTCCCACACTAGAAATCAGTGGACGTCCTGGGGTCTCAGGGCTGGGTTTCTTGTGGAAGGTTTCTTGTGGTCGGGCCCCTGCTGCATAGGATCCCCCCTCGTCCTGCAGGCCCCCCTCCCGTGCCCTGCCGCGCCCTTCCCTCCCGGGGCTGGGCAGGAGCCGACCTTCTGGACGCACGCCGAGGCCGTCCTCCGCGGCAGCCCCCGGAGGGGTGCCGGCCGGCCAGCCAGAAGCCGCGAGGCGTGCCACGATCCCCGGGGACGGCCTTTCCCCACTTCCGCTCGTGAGCGAAATCAAGGCAGGAGGCTTTTGGCAGTTTTCGGCCTCCGCGAGGGCCCTCATGAGGGGCCCCGGGGCCGTCGAAGAGCGACCTGGCACGAGGAGCCGGTCCCGGGGAAGGGGTCCAGGCTTCTGAGGATGCACTTTGAGAAGAAAAGACGTCGGAGCTCAGGGTTTGCTCGAGCACTCGAGCCTGGACCATCGCGGGGTTCCATCCAGAGCCTGCCTTGCAGATGTCACATGGGGCCCTCCAGTAAAGGCTTCGCCTTCGAAAAGTCCTCGGCGGAAACAAAGCGGCGATGAGTCCGCCAGCGGAAGCCTGCGGAGGTTCTGCGGAAGCTGGCAGGCGTGAGAGTCGCCGCCCCCAGGAGATGACAGCCTTTTTCGGATCCACGGTCTCCAGAACGGCCCGCATGGCGCCACCCCGCCTGCGCAGCCCGCTTTCTTCCCCCCCCCCCCCCCCCTGTGGCACCGCCCTCTCCTCCCCTCCTCCCTCCTCCCTCCTCCTCCTCCTCCTCCTCCTCCTCCTCCTCCTCCTCCTCCTCCTCCTCCTCCTCCTCCTCCTCCTCCTCCTCCTCCTCCTCCTCCTCCTCCTCCTCCTCGTCGCCCGCTCGGAGGTGAGTTCGCCGCGCCAGCCTGGGCTGCCCTAGGAGGAGCTTTCACAATGGAGCAATGGAGGTTCGACCTCCCATCTGCAGACTTTTTTCCTACATTCTGCACGTTTCTTCCCCCATGGAGGTTCGGCCTGCGAGATGGGGATTTTCGGGGTCGCACCGTGCTGGAAGCTTCTTGCGGGCCCAGGATCGGGAAAAATCGTTCCGGAGCGTTCCCGCTCCCCCGGACACGTTAGTGCAAGAGCCGCTGGTGCGATTTATGTTCTCCTTCGCTCAGTGCACGGTGCTAGTTTCTTATATTGCGGCAGGCGCTTGTGGCTGGAGATTCATTGATGTTGTCCGTTCCCAAGAAAGAAAATCGTTCCAGAGCATTCCAGAACGCTCTCAGGCAGAGCGTCCTGGAGCGCTCCAGAACGGCCGCGGTGCCCGATACATCTGCGCCAGGCCCAGCAGATCTCAGAGACCCACGATTTCGTCCGATCAAATTCTGTCTTGGTCTTAAGTCGGGCATGTCCCCCCACAGGGGGAATATTCAAAAATGATCAAAAATAGTCTGAGGACGACTTTTCGACTAATTTGGGCTATTTTTGAATATGTTTTGACTCTCTTTTTAAAATCTGTCGTCAAAAACCGCTTGTAGGAGGACATGCCCGACCTAATCTTGGTCCTGGCTGCATCTGGGGGACACCTGATCTCGAGTTTCGCGGTCGCGTTCATGCCTGACATCTCCGAGATTTAAGCTGCGCGCGACCAGCAGTGCGCTCGTGGTCGATGCCGCGATATGTCTGTGTTTTTTGGGCTCCCTCGTTAGATGGCGCTCGAATTGGTTGCCCTACGCCATCCTGCAAAAGCAACGCAACTCTCGCAACAGATCCGTCGCCCCACGCCAGTCACGTCTCTTCACGCGGGAGCGTCGCGCATGTTTTTTTTGTCTGTCGTCGCCTGTTGCTGTCCCATGAAATCCGGAACGATGTGGTGCACGATTCCTTTTCCCAATGTTAGGCGAGAAACAGAGGCCCAACATGTGGAGAAGAAGAGTTGCCCCGCCTCGCACCCTTGAGCTGATGTGACACGCATTATGAAGCTGATGTTTCGCGAGAAGTTGCCAGTTAGGATTGGTCTCAAAGGTGACGGGACCCCAACACGACTCGAAGGATCAAGGACAGTGCAAGAAGGCTCTGAGACGCCCTCAGACACCTACGGGTCGCTTCTCCGTGCGTTTCTTGGGCGTCATATTGGGTTTGCAAAGTTGTAAGCAACGGGTTCGGCAACTTTTACGGGCGCGGCCCGTAATTAATTAGGTCTCCACTGGTTTGAATGGCAGTCTGACAGATCTGTAGAAGGTTTACTAACTCGCCAGGATCGGAAGATGGCAGTTCTGTCCGCTGTTGATGATACGTTGAGTCGATGGTTCAGTCGCTGGTGGTAGCCAGGAGAATGAGGATGTTTGAAACAGGATGTTACCGCGAGTTGGGAGTATTCGTTTGCCGACTGGGTGAGCATATTTTGGCGACCACCATTCAAACACATCCAACTGCGTATACGGGTAAAAGTGTTTGCCAGATATTGGGTGATTGTGGATGTCGTCGTTCGACGTTCAGTCAGAAGCTGGCCAGACAGCGTACAGCGCGGCACAGCAATGATAACGCCAGGTGCGAGAAAATTATGAATGCCATCGCTTGCAAGAGGCGGGCACATCACAGATAAGACATCGACCCGGCGGCAGGTGCCCCATTGAAACCTCTTCGCCCTGGAGTGCCCTGGGGACCCACGATCGCCGACGATTGTGCCCCAAGATGTCTCAAAGATCGCCGACGACCGGGCAGCTTGGGATTCTCAAAGATCGCCGACGAGTGTGCCCCAAGATCTCCCAGATCGGAGGAGGGCCCGCTGAGACAACGGCGACTCTCCCGCCCGGCCCGGGCCCGCTCACAACCAGTCCCTGGACTGGGGTCCGCGCTGACCCGTTTGTTCTTCGGCGCGGACCCGGCGGTGGCACCGAAACGCGTCCGGGAGGAGCCCCCCAAAAAAGGGGCGAACAAGACACGGGGATGGCCGACGTTTGCCTCGTTTGGCCCTCCTCCGATTGTAGCAGGATGTTTGATCGTATGCGCCTCCTCCTCCTCCTCCTCCTCCTCCTCCTCCTCCGTCCTCCTCCTCCTCCTCCTCCTCCGTAGCCATTTTGGCTCAAGCCATTTTGGCTCAAGTCCCATGTCTTTGGAGGCTTCCAGCCCCAAGGCAGAAAGGGATACCGCTAGACCGCGGCGGGCAAGGCAGTTCTGCCTGGCATCCTTCTGCAGCCTACACTGCGGGATTTGGGCTCCCGCGCCTCAGCAGCTTTCTGTCTCGCACTCCAGCAGTCTCGCCCATGTCTGCAGGAGGTAATGGATCCTCGCCCACCACGCCTCGTGGATCCACGACGCCGGGCACGCCAGGCAAGAGAGTCATCAAGCCGAACAAGACTCTGCGCCCTGGTGGCCGCCGTGCTGCTACTGGCTCTGCTGGGAGTACACCTGTGCAGCCTGAGGTGCATTGCATGGACCACTCAGACAGTGAGGGAGACCTCGACGAGTCCCACGTGCGGACCATTTGCTTCGAAGTGGTCAACGAGCGCCTCAATGTTGTGCAGCAGGAGGTCGACAGGATTGTGGGCACGGCCGTCAAGTCTGCGATCACTGAGGAGACGGAGACGATCACCAGCGCGTTCAAGTCGAACTTCGACAAATGTATGGCGGCATGCAAGAAGGACATGGATGAGTTCCCGCAGAAGATGGACCAGCACATTATGGCAGTGGTCACGCCCAAGCTCGATGCGCTGCGCACTGAGGTCATGCAGCGTTGCGACGAGATTCGTGGTGAGATTCAACAGGTTGATGCGCGTGTCTCAGAACATGATCGACTCCTGGGGATCATGCAGTCCCAGATCCAGCAGTTACAGCAGGCCCTGGTCGTTGCCAACTCGCAGCAGCCTGCACCGAAGGCGCTGGCGAGCAGCGCTACCTTCGAGAGGGAGATCGACGCGACTGTGGTCAAGATTAACGCGGGCAGACTCGTGCGGGCCGAGGAGGTGCGCAACATCATCACCCCGTGGCTTGAGGAGATGCAGATCACGTCTGACATGTGGCCACTCTCGTCCCCTGACCCGATTGCCAAGATGTTCGTGCTGCAAGTCTCAGGCGCCACTGGCCTGGCATCAAGGCGTGTGCAGAAGATCCTCAGCGGATTGCGCATCTCATCAAATCAATGGCGGGAGTTCGAAGTTCCAACGCAGGCAGGTGGCACCACTCGCTTGCACATCTCTTGCGACAAGAACCCGAAGCAGATCAAGACGGAGATCACGGGGCGTAAGCTCCGCACAAAGCTGCAAGAGGTGTACGGCCGTGAGCAGAAGATATTCTTTGACAGGGACCGTGGCTGGCTCTCGCTCGGATGGGATGCACTGTGCAAGATTGAGGTCTTCCCTGGGCGCGAGGAGACGAAGCTGTTCTGGAACCTTGGCACCATCGCCAAGTACGGGAAATCCAAGGCCGAGCTGGTGGAAGCAGTGGGGGAACTCCTTCAGCCAGATCGAGAGCCTGAGTGGTGCCTTTAGCCTATTTGCCGCACTGTTCGCGCGCTCGCAGCTGCCTTTCCTGTGTGACGCTGCCACAGCTGGCGGCTTGCGTTTCACCTCTTGGAACACGCGAGCGTTGCTGCAGTACGAGGGGGCCCACGCTTGTGAGAAATTGTCTTATCTCCAGAAGCTCCGACTGGGCTCCACAGTCACCGCTTTGCAGGAGATTCACCAGTGTGAGGCACAGCTTATTCCTTTTATTAGACGTGTCCTCCCTGGAGCTCTAGTTTACTCGAGTTTCTGCGGCGAGGACCGCGCTGGACGTATCCTTGGTGGGGTTGCCACTGTCGTTCCTGGGATCTTGACCCGCGGCCATCGTTCCCCTTCCCTTCCCCCGGGCGTCCCTGCCACCCCTCTCCCTCTCATCGATGGTCGCGTGCTCCGCGTTGTCTTCGAAAATCAAGACACGAAACTAATTCACTATAGTGTGCATAATCATGATCTTACCTCAGAACAAGTAAGAAACGTGTGCAATCAGATAAATCGGGATCGGACCCTGGCCGAATCGTCTCCTGAATCAGTTTTAGCTGTAGTGCATGGTGATTTCAATTTTGCGTCCGAGGAAAAGCTTTCGTTTGCGCAGCCTTCGGAGGCTCGGAGGATTGCCCGCCCACTCCACGCCAAGGCCCCGCGGTGGGCTGATGCCTTAGATGGGCTGGTTGAGATCCCGTCGGCAA